ACCTGAGTTTATATTTATTCCATACTCTAAGAATAGCCTATCTAACATAATGCTTTTAAAGTCTACATTCACCTTAGCTTTATCATACCACAGATATGCATGCCACCCAAATCTCAAATCATGACCTTCTAAATCCAATAGCCTTCTGTTTCTTAACAACACCCACTCTTTCATCCAAACTAAATAGCAAGTCGCAAAATATAATTTCAAATCTGGTAAACCCAATCCTCTTTACTTTGCATATTGTAATACCTTATATTTAACTTGAGGTTTTTTCCCTTGCCAAACAAATTTAGATGGGTGGTGACTAAATTTGAAATATAAATAAATACATAAATCCTTCTGCCATTATTTAAACGGTACATCAGTTGCCAAAACAAGTACTGTCTGAAACAAAAATAACATTTTGGGTAAAACATTCATCTTAATCACAGAAATTTTCAATCTCTCCCTGCTCAGTGTCGAGCTGTTTGCTAAGCCAATACATTTGTTCTCACACGTGCTTTACATATCTCATTCAGGAATCAATCCTCATATTTGCACAAAATATTCTGTTAATTCAAGCCTAGTTGGCTTTATCATACACTTTCTCACATTCACACATTTCTCCATGACCTGAAGAAAAAAAATTCTAATCTGCATATCACCTGAAATAAAGCCACATTCATCTTCCCAAATATTGCTCATTGTCCTCTTGTCCCCTTTCAATATAACGTGTAACACATATAAGGAACGAATCTAGCTATAATTTTTCTATACAGGTAGTCCCCAGTTTAAGAACGAGTTCCATTCCTAAGGTCTCTCCTGAAGCTGAATTTGTATGTAAGCTGGAACAGTATTATTTAATGCTGTATAAGTAGTATTGTGTAATTAACTCAAACCATTGCGTATTTAACTCGATTTTTGCTACAATAGGCTCCATTCTTAACTGTGGGCCATCCTTAAACCGGGCATTCTTAACCTGGGGATTACCTGGTATATTCTTGCTAACTTTCTTTTATTAAAAGAAAACATAACATTTTTCAAATCACTAGGCACAGGATGAAGTCTTTACACACACATCAAACTGCACAACTATTCCATTTTCATCTTCAATTACATGATTGCAATTTTCAACATTCTCTCAACGTTTATGACTTCCTTTTCATCATTGGTATGGGGAAAGATTAGCATTTATGGCATTGATTTCAATTTCATCTTCGACATATGAGTATCATTCCTATTGATTTGATTTGATGACGTGCCATTAAATTGGTGTTGATTCTTAGCAACCACATAGATATTCTCCCAGAGGATCCGTCCCCAACCTGGTCCTTCAGGTCTTCAAATGGTGCACCCATTGCCACTGTAATTGAGTCCATTCACCCTGCTGGTTGTTGTCCTGTCATTCTTGCCCACCTTTCCCAGCATTATAGATTTCTCCAGAGAGTAGGCCTTGCATAATGTGTCCAAAGTACTATAATTTCAACCTGGTCATTTGTGCCTCAAGTGAGAACCCTGGGTTGATTTGTTTGATGATCCATTTTTTTTCTTAGCTATCCATGCTATTCTCAGGAGTTTTCTCCAATGTTCAAAAGTGTCAATACTCTATTCTGCTTCTTCAAAGTCCAACTTCCATAGAGTGTCATAGGAAAACAATTGCCTGCACAATTCTGATCTTTGTAGGTACAGACACATCAGGGCATTAGAATATCTTTACAAGAATTCATTGCTACTCTATCAAATGGTAGTCTGCAATGTACTTCATTACTGCTGGTTCCTTAACTGTTGATAGTTGATCCCAAAAGAGAGAAGCTGGATAGCACTTCAATATATTCATTGTTAATTCTAAGGCTGGTTGCTGCACCTGTTGTCATTAGTTTCATCTTCTAATATCCAATCTTAGTTGCACTTTTTTACTGTGCTCCTTAACTTTCATTATTCGAGTCTGCAGATCATTAGCATTTTCAGGTATCAGAGTATTGTCATCAGCATACTGCAGGTTACTGATGTTTCTTCCTCCAATTTTAAAATCACACTCATCTTCTTTCAATCCAGATTCTCTCAATATATATTCCATATATAGGTTGAATAAATAAGCCGAGAGTATACAGCCTTGTCTCACTTTTTTGCAAACCTGGAGCTAGTCTGTTTTACCATGTTCTGTCCATACTGTGGCTTCCTGACCTACGTTTTGCATGAGGACAATGAGATGTTCTGGGATTCCCATTTTTCTAGTCACATTCCACAACTGACATGATCAACAAAGACCTTTCTGTAATCAATGAAGCACATTTGGGGGGGGGGGATATTCTTTGGCTTTCTCAATTAAGCCAGGTTGAACAACTGTCATCTCCCTTTCTATGTAAGGCTGAAATGTACATTCAACATTCCTAAGCATTATTTTGCTAGTGTGTGAAATTAAGGATATTGTACAATAGTTCACACACTCTGTTATGTCTCCTTTCTTTGGTATTGATATGTAGATCAATCTCTTCCAATCCATGGGCCACTGTGTTGTTCTCCAGATTTGCTGCCATAGTTTTGTTAGAACCTTGACTGATTTTTCTTCTGTTGTTTGCCATATTTGTGTCAATATTCTATCAGTTGCGGTAGGCTTCCAACTTGGTAATTACTGGAGTGCTGATCTAACTTCAGCTTCTAGTATTAGAGGTTCTTATAAGTAGGGAATATCCTCTAAGGTATCTTGGATGTTGATATCTCTACCATAAAGTATTTCAATATGTTATTTCCATCTTTGTTTATGCTTCTTTGAATCAGTTGCCATCTGCCCATTCATGCTTTGGGTGACCCTGCTGTGATATACATATCATTGGCATACACTCCCAACATTCTTCACTCATCCCTCCCAATAACAGCCCTCCACCACAATGAGACAGCACAGCAGGATTTAGGTGGTGGTTGTGGGATTATTCCCATAGAAATTTCTAAAAATATTACTTCAAGCGATATCTCACTTCAGTCTCATCCTAAATAATTTCAGCACATTTATTTTTAATCCCATACAATCTGCTGGAGGCTGCTCGTTTAGCCCCCTTCACCAACTTCCAAAACAATTTTTTTATTTCTCTCAAAATCACTCATTTATTTGCCTCTTTTAATCTTAACTGTACTTTGTTC